GGGTTTCCGAGGTGGTATCTCTACAGAAGTACGTTGCCCAATCTTCCTTCCAAATTACCTACCTATAGACTGTATAAAAACCCATTGCCATCAAGTCTGTTTTGACCCATAGTGGCCCTATAAGGCAGAGTAGAAATGTCCCATAAGGTTTCTAAAGCTGTAAATCTCTACAGATGCAGACTGCCACATGTTTCTCTTGTGGAGACTGTAAGGCTATGTAAAAATAATACGTACCGTCTCTAGCCTCTGTAAACTTGCTTTCAGTAGCATTGATCCAAACAAGTGTATGAAGGGGATTTTTAGAGGCTAAGTATTAAATCTATGAATCTTTATATTGAAAGAGAAGAATTTAAGGTAATACTAATAGATGTATACATTGTAAATTTCTCTTCTAGCTGGAGTAGCCTTCATAGAAACCTTATGTTTTAGGTCACTAAATAAGAGATAGAGATTTACTCCTTAACCTTTAATCTGCCTTCTAAACTACTTCTTCCAGAATCACTAATAAACTGCTGTTACCTAAATCGATGTCATCATCCAGCTATCGCATTAGCAGATTATTCTCAAATCTCTGTCTTTAGTCGTCTTGGACATTCATCTCTGGTGGCTCATTGTGACCTCAGATTCAGCACATCCTAAAGCAAACTCATTTTCTCATCATGTCTCCCTCTTGTCCCTGTCAGGCCTTCTCCGTTCTTCTGTCTGTGTTTCTTATTTAATGGCATCGGCACCCTACTCAGTCAAGCTGGAAGCCAGAAAGTCATCTCTAATATAGTGGGAAACCCACTAGACATGACAGCAGAACAGTATCCTCCTAAGATTGGAGACTTTTTATTTATTTATTTACTTTGAGAATTTTTTTTCTTTAATTGTGATATGGGTGAAATTTTATAGAGCAAATTTATTTTCCACACAACAGTTCATACACATTTTGTTTCATTACGTTCATTGCAATCCCCACAGTATAACAGCTCTCTTCCCACTTCCTCTTTGTGGTTATCTTTTCCCATTGTTGTTCTTTCCTGTGTTTTCCTGCCCTCTGAGCTGTCTGCCTATTTAAATACTGCTTTTCTGATCTCTCCCATGGTTGAGTATTCTAAGGAGTAAACCTATCTGGTCTAAATGTTCACCTTTTACATCTGTCTGTTGTTGGGCTGGAAGTCTCAGGAGTGAGTTCAGTTCCAGGCCCAAAGGGTGACCAGGGGCCATAATCTAGGAGATTTGTTATCAGACCAGTGAGCTTGGTCTTTTTATATGATTTTAGGTTTTGTTCCACATTTTTATCCCACTCTAACCAGGATCTGCTATTTTGATCCTTTTCTGGGTGGTTGACAGTGGTAGCCAGGTACCATCTAGTTCTTCTGGTCTTATGGTCAGGTAGGCTAAGGTTTGCGTGGTCTACTAGTCCCTTGGACTACTTGGTTCCATATGTCTTTGATTTTCTTCATTCTTTGCTCCAGATGAGGAGAGATGAATTATTGCATCTTAGATGGCCCCTTGCAAGCTTTTAAGACCATAGTCACTATTTACCAAAGTGGGATGTAGAACAATGTTTTTGTGTAATATTTTTTGCCAGTTGAGCTTCCTGTCCCCTGTGAACATGGTTCCAAGCCTGTGTGCCCAATGATTCATTCCCTTGGGGAGTTTGGCTGTGGCTGAGAAGTTATCACTTTGTCCCATTAGCTCTATTATATAAATGGACATTCTTATAGCACAGTATGTAGAAATATCATCTGCCAAACTTATGTATGGTCATGGGTATATTCCCTTTTGCACAGCTATACCTGATCATTTAATCTGCCTGCCTATGTTGTTGTTGTTATGTGCCGTTGAGTCGGACCCGACTCATAGCGACCCCTCCTTGGGTTGCCGAGGCAGTATCACTGTGGAAGTAGATTGCCCCATCTTCCTTCCAAGGAGTGGCTGGTGGGTATGAACCGCCAGCCTTCTGGTTAGCAGTCAAGTGCCTTAGGCACTGTGCTACCAGAGCTCCTGTCTGCCTATGTATCCACCTGTAAATTAAATGTTTATTATTACTGATAATGCAGTATTGTGTTTGTAAAAGTGTTTATCTTTGTTGTGTGGACCTCTTGTGCTCAGACTCTCCATGTTTTCCTTTTTATTTTTTTTTTAACATTTTATTGTGCTTTAGGTATAAGTTTACATAGCTAGTTTTCCAGTCAAGAGTTCATACACAGATTGTTCTGTGATATGGTTTCAATGCCCAGAGTGTCAGCACGCTCTCTAATTCCTCCCTGGTTTCATTCATCTGGTTTCTTGTCCCTCCCTATTGTTTCATCTCTGGTTTTGGGCAACTGTTGCCCTTTTGATCCCATATATGGACAGTTTTTTAACCTCTTTGAACTTCAGTTTCTTCACCTGCAAAATAGAGATTAACAAAAAAACAGGAAAGTGATAGTAATTAGATGGAATAATATATTATTAAAACACTTTATATTAGCAATATTAGCATTTAATACTAGTTTCGACTCTTTGATCTTACCCAGTACATTCAGTCATTTAAGTCCTGTGGTTTCTGTGACTGCCTCTTTCTCCTTTGTTTTCAGTGTCTGCCACTCTTAATTAACTTTTAGTGCATCTCCCTTACTTCTCATTCTCACATCTCTATACCATCACTGCCACTCCATTTAGTAACTAAAAAAACACAAGAATATGCCATTTCTTTTCAAAATTCCTCCCCATCTCTCTAAGTTAATGGAACTCTGGTGGCACAGTGGTTGAAGCATTTGTCTGCTAACCAAAGGTCAATGGTTTGAACCCACCAGCCCCTCTGCAGGAAAAAGATGAGGCAGTCTTCTTCAGTAAAGATTTACAGCCTTAGAAACCCAGTGGAGCAGTTCTGCTCTGTCCTAAAGGGTCCTATGAGTGAGAATCAACTTGATAGTAGTAGGTTTTTGGTCTCCTTAGGTTGAAGTTCTAGAACATTAGGCATTAAAGATCTGACATCTGGCCCTAACTAGCCTCGTTGTCCTCTGTGAATATTGGATGAGGATATACTATAAGGAATTGAGACCTCTGGCTTTTCCAAGAAGAGTGTGACCTGAGCCTCAAGAGGCATTACAGTTTAATAAGAGTAAACTATGATAAATTGTGGTAAGTTCTATGATAGAAATTCAGTTTTACAAGTCTTGTTAGAAAGAGAAAAACTTACCCTAACTGTGTGCCTAAGAGAGGGAGGTATTCAGGAAGGATTGGACACAGAGGCAGAATTAAAGTTGAATTTCATTTCTCTGTAGGGTTTAAGAAAGCCCATGTTCTTCATCATTAACCTATACTGCTTCTCAATCTCAAGTAGTAAGTAGGGTAAAAACCAGGAGAATGATATAGAAGCATTAAAGAATGAGCTTTAACAAAGGCATGGAAAAGTACAGCACTTGTGTAAGGAACATTGACCAATAAAGGGTGATAAGAATACGGAGTTTGGTGGTGGGGGCTGGAGCTGAAGAGCACTATTAACCCCCACTGTTAGTCTCTGTTTCTCAAGTCTAAAACAAGATCCTTAGACCATGCTTGTGCCTGTGAATACTTGAATACTCTTATTGTAAATGCTGCTGTGTGTTTTTAAATACCAGTCTCTTTTATTTAGAGCCTCTTACCTGCTTTCTGGTTTCAGAGACATGGTTTCTTTCTGTTGTCATGTCTCCCTCCAGCAAACTTGCTGATTATGGTTTCATTTCCCCTCTGCTGCTTCATAATCTTTTCTTTTCCTTCTCATTTCTTACCATTCATGTGGCTGTCTTTCATCCTGTATAATCATCTGGAGTGTAGAGCCATTTTCTGAGACATTTCGCTTTCTCCCCAAAAAGGGAGATGAATTTTCATTAGTAACACACTTCAGTGGTGACAGTTTCAAACAGAAAGATAAGCATAGGCACATTCCCTACAAGTCTCTGGAATAATTCCTCAGTGTCCATTATTTTCTGAGTATCAAAATGAATTAGTCTTTTCAGTGTCCCAATGAAACTCCCTCCCAAAATTTCCAAGGCAAATGGCCTATTTATCACTCACATGGTATGGAAGACCCTGGAAAGTACTGCCTTTAGGTTGACCTAGTCACGGCCACTTCTTTCTGGTAGCCCCATTGATCTACTAGCTTTAGCAATCTGTACTCATTTGTACCCACCAACTGCCAGCCTAGCCTCAGATGGTAATACACAGAAAGGTTCCCTGCTTATTGTCCGTCAGTACCAACTTCATGTATAGTTACATCTTCCAGCATTGTATCCTAGCTCCTTAGAGTAGAATGGATCTAAAAACTGAGAAAATAGCAGATTTAATATTCAGCAAAAACTCACATCCTAAATTCTAATTATATTGATATATTTGATAAGGGTGATACTGCAATTTAGACTTCATTCACAGATGGGAAAATGGAATAAAGAAAGGACACAGAACTCCACGAGAACTCGTTTACAGCGAGCACCTCAACTACAGTACCAGTAGTTGATTGCTTAGCCATTGCTATGTTGTTGTTGTTGTTGTCATGTGCCCTCGAGTCGGACCCGACTCATAGTGACCCCTCCTTGGGTTGCTGAGGCATTACCACTACGGAAGTAGATTGCCCCATTTTCCTTCCGAGGAGTGGCTGGCTTGTTGGTTTGAACCACCAGCCTTCTGGTTAGCAGTCAAGTGCCTTAGGCACTACACTACCAGAACTCCTAGCCATTGCTATACAAAAGAATAATTTTTGTTCTTTCATAAATATTAGCTATTTAGACTTTATATAAGAATAACTCATGAATATTACATTTCTAAATGAAGCTTACTCACTTTCCATGATATAGACACTGTAATTGCCTACATTGCATTATTTGCTAGTGGGACGACTTTTTTTTTTAATAATAATATTTTACTGTGTTTTTGGTGAAAGTTTGTATAGCAAGTTAGGTTCCTGCTAGGTGGACTTTGACAATTCATTTTAAATTTCCAAATGCAGCCCAGAATAATTTCTAATACTTTGCTGTTATTTTTCTACACAGTTGCCCTTGGACCAGAAAGAAGAAAATCTGACTCAGGAGTTATGCTGCCGACACTTAGGGTCTCTCTGATCCAAGACATGAGGTATTTGTTGTGTACATGAGCAGATGGTGGTAACTTTGAAATACTGATGTGTTTCACCTAAATTAGTTAAAGATGAATGGCTATATGTATTTCATGCTTATGTGTTCTGAAGAAAACATTTTTTTATTTTTTATGGTTTTGTTTATTTCACTTTTACAGTATTTATTTTTTACATTAAATGCAAAGGGAAAGTACAGGTGAGAAGAGTTTTGAAAGCATCCCTAAATTTTACATTCTTTGTTCTGTTTTTTTAAAATACCTGCTGCCCACAGATTCAGACAAGAAAATCTACAAATAATGACAGGTTACTTGGCAGAAAAAATGCTGTCAGGTAGATTTAGCTTGAAGCAAACACAAATCTGAGAGTTACTGCTTCCAGTTACTGGTCTGATAAATCTTTATAAGGCATCAAGATATCTAAACTAGATTTATTGATGAAGAAAGAAGAGGCTTTTTTCTTACAAAAACTTGTAGATACAATACTTAGCCAATTCTTAAAACATATGAGTTTAAGTAAATATTATAACATCTATAAACTTATAACTCTCTTCTCTTATGATGTGCTTTGTTAATGTTAGTTGTGGATGTTTATATGATTTGTAAAGTATTTGTAACTAAAAGCATAGCTCTTATGAGTGGCAGCATAGTTAGTGATAACACGTCCTGGCTTTACATTTATGACTGTGTGACCTCAGATGGGGCAATCTACTTCCATAGTAATATTGCCTTGGAAACCCAAGGAGGGGTCACTATGAGTCAGGTCCGACTCGACAGCACAAAACAACAACAACAACAACAACAATAACCTCAGACAATTTTCATAAATTCTCTATACCTCAGGTTTCCCAGATCTCAAGTAGAAATAGAAACAGTACCTATCTCATAGGATTGTTCTAAGGATTAAATGAGTTAGCCCATGTAAAAAGTTCAGAGAAGTACTTGGTTTGTAGAGTCCGGTAAATGTTGGTGGTTGTTGTGGTTATATAAATCAGTTTATATATTTATGCTGTAAATGTCATTACTCCTTGGTAGATGTTATCTTTATGTGGCTTGTGATTGTTTTTGATAGTTAGCGTAAGAATAGTCATTGTAGCTGTAAGGAGAAAATTATCTTTGGCTCTCTTAACTAAAACATAGAAGCCATGTGTATTCTGCAGTGGTTTTCCAGTAGCCATCATGTTAAGGTGATGGTTTTTGAAAGTTTTGCAGCTGTTACCTCAAGAGCCAAATTTCTGATGTGACCTGATTAGGAGATGGTCATATCTCATAGGCTGACTTACTCCTTCAATTTCCTTCTCAGTTTACTTTTACATACTTAATGTTATTCTGATTTTTTGAGGGTCAGGGTTGCCTGCATAGATTTATTCACTTTTACATCATAAGAGGCATTGTATTTTACTGGTGAAGACCCCAAGCTTTGGAACTGGCCTATAAGGATTGCTTTTTCACTAGCTGAGTACTGAAAAAAAAAAAAAACTTACTGCCATTGAGTCGAATCCAACTCCTAGCGACCTCTTTTTGGGTTTCCGAGGCAGTATCTCTATGGAAGTAGATTGCCCAGTCTTCCTTCCGAGGAGTGGCTGGTGCCTTAAGCACTATGCCACCAGAGCTCCCACTAGTTCGGTAGCCTGGGGAAATTCCTTATATTCTCTGTTTTCCCACCTATAAAATGGGGATAATGCCTTAAAAAGTGCTTATCTCAAAAGTGCTTATCTCAAAAAGAATAATGAGTTAACAGAATAGGTCTGGAAATATATGTATTTATACCACTCATGCATGCATACACAATTTTGTTTATTTCTGGATCTACCTGTCTTTATCTGCGTGCATATGCGTATCTTTTAAACTATGAATTCATACTAATATCTCCCATTCTAGTTAACATTACAGAGATTATTGTAGCCTTTTCCCTCTCCATATTTATCATTTGTTCCTCCAATTATAAGAAATCTATGGCTGTCTACAATATATTTACTTATTTGTACAACTGTAGTATATACATAAGGTTGGCTCAGAATTATTATCCCATACCGCTGTAAGAAACGAGTTTAATAGTAATGTTTGTGTATAGCTCTAGTTTTCTTTGTGTTAGCCTTTTAGTATCCAACCAAAAATCTTTTTTTTTTCCCCAGAAATTTAGATTAATTCATCTTTTTCTCCATCCCCTACAGTGTGGTTATGTTATTCATTTGTGATACAAGTAGGCTCATTTACTACAGTTTATTTTCTGTTTTGGGCTCCCTCCTTACCCTGGTTGATTTTTTTTTTTTTTAGTTTTATTTAAATGCAGTAAAATTTATTCTTTATATTGTGCTATTCTTTGGAGTTTAACAAACATGCAATCACGGTACAAGACAGTTCCATCACCCCAAAAATTCCCTTATACTATACTTTTTTAGTCAGCCCCTCCCCTAGCCCTTACGTCTGACAGTCACTAATATATTTCCAAGTTTTTTCACTAAAGGGACTAGCAACAGTGACACACTGGGAGCAGTGAGCCCAGCTTGCACCCAGATATTAGTTTCTAATACAATTTTTCAATGAAAGGAGCCAAAGCTCCCTAGAGAAGTGGTTGATTGCAGGGCTGAGGCAGGGAAAATACAGGATGACCTAGAGCATCCTGTGGTTCCAGAAAGTACAGAAACTCAGAAAAGGATAGAGTCATGTCAAGAAGGTACAAGAGCCAACTTAAAAGTGTTTCCGATAGCAAAAGCTGGAACAATTTTAACAAAAAAATAATAATGCTAGCATTGAAACAACACACTTAGACAAATTAGATGGTTACGTGCATGTGTGCAGTGGGACAGCTCTTTTTTTTTTTAACAGAATTATTTCACTTAATAAACATGGAAGGAATGAAGGAGTAGAAAATCACCATTAGAACAGCATAATTATAATTGTTGTAGACTAATATGCTAAAACTAGTGTTTGAAAGTTTAAGGAGAAACCAGGATATTCGCATAGTCTCAAAGCATCTACCCCAAGAATTTATTAATTCCAAAGGGAAAATAGTAACTTTACAATGGAGAAAGTCAGCAGATACCACGTTAACCAAGTGATTAAGGTAACATTACTAGATATAAGACATGTCAACATGATGGACCCACTGATACGATACACTGAGAAGAGTATATCACTTCTAACTATTCTTGCCATAAATGCAGAATCTCAATCTACTAACCATAACAAAACATCAGAAAAATCCAAATTGAGGGATGTTCTACAAAATAATTGATCCAGCTCAGCGCTAGTGATCCTTATGCTTATGGAACTAATGTATATTAGTATTCAGACTAATAGTCTACACTTAAATTTTAACTAATAGTACAGGTATCCCCACTTTTTGAAAGTTTGCTTTATACCATTTTGCTTTTTTTTTTTTAATTTTGTGATTTGGGTGAAAGTTTACAGAGCAAATTCACTTTCCATACAGCAGCTCACATATACATTATCTCATGACATTGACTACAATTTCTCACAATGCAACGAGCCCTCCCACTTCCTCCCCATAGTTACCTCTTCCATTTGTCCTTCCCTCCCCTGCACTCCTGCCCCCCTCCCCAAGCTGTCTCCCTGTGCATACACAGCCCTTCTATTTTCCCATGGTTGATCTCTCCAAGGAGTGTATCTACCTAATGTAAATGTTCAGCTCATATGCCTGTCTTTTGTTTGGCTGGAAGCCACAGGAGTGGGCTCAATTCCAAACCTGAAGGGCAGCTAGGTGCCGTAGTCTCAGTGGTTCCATTAGGCTCTATCAGACCAGCAAAATTGGTCCTTTTTTTAAAAAAAAAAATGATTTTGAATTTTGTTCCACGTTGTTTTCCTATTCTATCCAAGATCTCCTACATAGGTTCCCCGCTGAGTGGTTAACAGTAGTAGCTGGGCATCATCTAGTTCTTCTGGTCTCATAGTCATATAGGTTGAGGATCTCATGGTGTACCAGTCACTTGAACTAATTGTTTCCATGTGTCTTTGGTTTTCTTCATTCTTCTTTGCTCTGGATGAGGAGAGACACATTGTTGCATCTAAATGGTCACTTGCAAGCTTTCAAGATCCCAGTCACTACTCACCAAAGTAGAATGTGGAACAGTGTTTTGGGTAGTATGTTATGCCAGTTGAGCTTGATGTCCCCTGCAACTATGGTCCCAAGCCCACAGGTCCGACTACCCCCTCCCTCCAGGTAGCTGGCTGTGGCCAAGAAGTGACTACAACCTTGTGCCTTACAGCTCTACCATGCCATTTCACTTAGGAAAGACCTACGTTAGTATTTGTTTTCACTAACCAAATGAAATCTGCAGAGGATTGTCACTTTTACAAACAAAAGTGGAACTAGCAATCAGCATTTGTTTTGCAGTGAATCATTAAAGAGGCAGGGCATATCCCCAAGAAGTGAGAATGGTGTTGCCAGGCTCCTTCATGAGGGACCTGCAGTCAGCATCTCAACATCAAGCCGCCATAGCTTTGAGCTGTATCTGTAAACACTGAATATTAGTGCTGTTTTGTGTTTTATGTGTTATTTGATAAAATTTAGTAGGTATTTTTTGGGATCTGGGAATGATCAAAAATTTTTCCTTTATGAAGTAATGGTAATTGCATCTTTGCTTTACACCATTTTGACTTATACAAAAGCTTTCATAAAGGACTGTTTTATTTTCTGATAGTGGGAGAAAACTGTATTCTGAATTGGTTAATAGTAAGTCAGACTCTGACTTACATAGTCTGGCACATGACTTTTGTTATGTGCCATCGAGTCGGCCCCGACTCATAGTGACCCCTCCTTGGGTTTCCGAGGCAGTATCACTACGGAAGTAGGATTGCCCAACCTTCCTTCCGAGGAGTGGCTGGTGGGTTTGAACCGCCAGCCTTCTGGTTAGCAGTCAAGTGCTTTAGCCACTATGCTACCAGAGCTCCTTAGTGCTCAGTAAATATTTGTTATGTATAGATTTGCCATGTTTTAAGCTGTGTGTATGTGAGAGAACGGGAGAGAGAGAGTTTATCTA